GACCATCTCCCAAAGTAGTCTGATGCCCAGTTTTTATATCATTTCTTGTAGTGAACAAAACTAACTAAACTTAACTACACTGAAACTTATTTCTAATTTTCCAACATTACTTACGGCAGTATTATTCTGTAACTTGGCCATTGTTCACTACTATAACCCCTCCCCTAAACTTGTTTTTTTTCTCCAACCATATTTAATGGACATGTTTCTCTTTGTTCTTGTTCCCCAGAATGTTTGGAAAGAGACACTTGGCCAGAGAAAGAAACAAAAATCATCCTTTGTTAGGTGAGTTTTACTTTGTACTTTCGTTTTCATCTATAGATGGTTAAAGTGAACTTTTTAAACAAATGCAAGACTAACTCTTCTAAGCTTATATTTTAAAATAACAAATAGCCTTTTTAGTGAATTTATATGAATTTTGAAGAGGACTTGCCATTTTTTCCATGTTAGGTATTAAAATTCCAAGTGGAATTCTACCTCTTTACCTAGAAGTACCAACATTTAGTAAGGATCTTTGTAAGTCAGAGTTGAGCTGTTGAGATCTGACCATGTTTGTGGTCAAATCATGTTTAGAAGGAATTCCTTTTTTTTTAAGTAGTGATGATAGCAGCAAGACTGTTGAAAGCCCCCACTGTTTGTTTTCTCTGTATATATTATTCAGGCATATTTAGTAGCTGTGGTTGACCCTGAAGACTGGGTTGTTACTGTGGACATTTTTATTTAAAAAAAGAGCATTGAGTAGCTTCCACATTCATGTGATACCTAATTGTTCTGAATATTATTACTTGTGCTTTGGAGCAAACCCATAAGCCCAGTAAACGTTTATGGGTAGCCCAGAAGCTTCATCAAAGGATGTGATTCTGCCAAGGAGTTTTTTTGAGGGGAAAGCAGAGGTGCGAGCGGGGAGACTTGTCTTTGCAAATTAATTCAAATAAATAGCATCTACTAAAAAAGTATAGCAGTTCTAGGTACTCCTTGTCACTTCAGATCGAGAAAAAGAACTAGAAGCTTTCCGAATGGCACAGCAGGGATGTTTGCACCAGAAGAAAGGACAAGCAGTTCTCTACGAAGGTGGAAAAGGATGTGGAAAAAGTCAGTTGTTGGCTGAAATAAATTTCCTGGCCCAGAGAGAAGGGTATAGGTAAAAACTCCTGCTTCTTGAGTTAACAGCTACTTTTCTTGGGGCTCCTTTCTCTTCTTCGTGAGATTTATATTATTATTATTCTGTGTCCTCGGGTTGGTGGAGTGAGTAATCTCTCTGTAGGCCAAGGATTCCCAGTGATTATGGTAACATTCACCAGGGTGATACCACTGAAGTTGAAAGAGGATAATTCCAAGCAGTGCTTCTATGCCATCCAGACCCTCATGGCCATCTTCTTTGAAATTGATATATGCCCAGCCTATTCCCGCCAAGAGTGCCTACACAAGCAGCTCCGAGGGATGGTGGAAGAACCGCTTCACTGCCTGTTTAATGAGCTCTTCTTTGTGAAGGTAATGAAGGCAGTGGTTCTCTGAATTGGATTATGATATTTTTTTATGGGCACTTAAGTCCAGAGTTGTCTTCTAATACACTTAGGCAGGCTGGCTGGCTATCTGTCTGTCTGTCTGTATCTATGTATCTCACTATGGCCTAAGGACTTTTAAATAGTAGTGGAAATACTGATATTTGAAATCCCTTTGATCCTAAAACTCAGGCTTTCTCATTTATGAGGAGAGTAGATTCTAGGATTGACTCTCACACTTGCTAATTTTATGTCCTGGTAAAATCGCTTAGCTTTTCTGAGCCTGAAATTTTTCATCTGTGAAATTATAATTGTAGTTCTTTATAGTTATTTAACTGACATATATAGTTCTTTATATAGGGAATTTTAAAGAAGATAAATGTAAGAGACTGCACTGTAAATGTGAAAATACAAAATCTATCAAGGTGATCTCTCCTAGCCCAACATCCTCAGCAGCTGTATCTCTGTGTTCTCAAGCTGGTTGAACTATTTTGTTCTTTAAGCCTAACTTTGTGTTTCCTAGCCATGGAGTATGTACTTGAACCAACATCTGAATCTCAAAAGTTTCTAGTGGTATAGGGCATATGTGTTTCCCAATAGCATAGTAGACTAAGAATTTCCTGGTCTGAAATTGCATTTATTCTTCCTTCATCACTTCTAATCTACTTAGCCTGCAATTCATTGTATTTAATGGAAGATAGAGAAAACTAACATCTCTCCAATTTTTCAACATAACCTTTCCTCAGACAGGTTTTGTCTGGGGTTCTGGCCACTTGCCAAAGTAATCAAGACATATATTCACTTTTTGGCTCTCAGGTCCATGGTAGCTGATGTGCCTCAGCCAGGCGTAGGAAACAATGTTAGGAGATATCACAGTACTAACAAGTCTCATGCACACATTCATTTTGGTATACTTGACACAAATGGGGTACTGGAACTCTATTAAGTCTGACCTTCACTTTACTCCTAACTCGTGGCTTTTTACGTGTTCACCAGAATTGGGTGGAAAGGAGCTAGCTCCCTCTAACCATCAATGGGACTTTGGTTCTCATCCTCTCAGCTACATATTGTAACCCTTTGCTCAACCTACAGAAATTTTGTCATTCAAAATGGAATTATATTCTGTTCCATTTTGAAAACTATAGGTTGTCATTTTCAATGCTAATATATGAATTATTTTCCTGGTCAGTTTCCCTTATCCTTCAAAGTTTCGCATATGGATGACCTGATGAGACAAAAGAAAGTTAAAGCATGTTTTTTCCAAATGCTTCAGGAGGTGGGTACTTTTGCTGCATGCCATTAACTCTTAATATGTGGAAATGGTTTGTGTGTGTGTGTTTTTTTTTAAAGATTTATTTATTCATACAGAACTGGGGTACAGGTCAGAGGTGCAGGGGTGGTGAGAGGCTTCACCAGAGACATAGTGGGGAGTAGAACAGGCCGACTGACAAAGTACACTGCTGAGGGGAGCAGCAGGCGGGTCAGGAGAGGTCTGCTGCGCCATGTGGGTCAGCTCTAGGGTAGGGATCGAACTCATGCTGAAGTGGCTTTAGCTTCTTAGTGCTGTGCTTAAACCCAGGGAGGGCACTATGCTTATTTTAATCTAGACACATCACTCCTTGAGTTAGACATTTCTTGACCTATTTGTTGCTATTTTTTTGTATTTATAATCTTGAATCCATACTACAGCACAATGAAAGAGAAAAGGTAGAAATTTCATTTAAAACTGTGATTTCTAAATGCAGGTGCATAACTATTTTACCTTCTATCTATCAAAAATATGGATACTCAGGGCCCCACCCAGTATTATGGAATCAGAAGTTTTTAACAAAAACTGATGTAGCCATCCTGGCAAGTAGTCTGAAAGTAATTACTCAAATGGTAATAGCATGTGTCTCCTAGACCCAGCATTTCCACTCCTGGGTCTCCCTGAGAGGCTGTTAATTGCAGTGTGTGCTTGTAGCTGCTAGGAGGTGTTGACATACACTCATAGGTGAGTTTATATTAGTAATACAGGAATTAGTAGTAAGGAAATAGGTGAAAACACAGCAGCATGGGGTAAACTTAAAACCAGTCCTGAATAAGAAAAATCATGAGATCTGTAATATAGTAGCATTTACATAAAAACAATTCACTTGACAAAACAAAAGTACAGCACAAAGTGAGTCACACAGAGACCACATTAGGGTGGTAGCCTGGAGCCGTGGGGAGAAGAATAGATGTTAGGAGTGTGGATGAAAGTACATACATTTTTTAAAAATCTGTGGAAGTTGGGCCTGGTAACTGGTAGTTTTTTGTTTTTTGTTTTTTAACATCATTCTTCATTTTGTGCATTTTCCACCTCAATTGTAATCCCCAAGGGCTTCCCACCACCAATTCTCCTGTGAGCCGTCTCCACTTGGTAACTGGTAGTTTAAGCAGTCACTCCCAGGTGATTCTGATATACAGTCGGGTTTGGGAATTCAGGTTTAAAGTATTATGAATTCCCACACAGTTTGAAGTCTTTGCCAAAATGAAATATTTAGGAAGTTTCAAGTTTGATTTGGAAGTTGTTTTGCTGCTCATTTTTCAGAGTATTTTCTTATCCAAGGAAACTCTCAGTACATTTCTTTAGGCGAGGTAAACTAGCTTGTGTTGACATTTTATTTAAATTGTTGCTAGATTTGAAAATCAGGTAACTCCATTTCTAATCAGAGGTTGTCCATGTTTCTCTGCTGTTATTTCTAGGCAGTGAGGGAAACACCACTGATTTTCCTCATTGACGAAGCCCAGTATATGGATGCAGCTTCCTGGAAATTTTTGGAAACATTGCTCTCCACTGTACCCATCATCATGGTGATGACATTGACCCCTACCTTTGCCTTGCATGGCTGGGCCCAACACTTCCTGAAGAGCCCTCAGACTACCCATGTGCCCATTTCGAAGTTGGCAGCTACCTCGCTATTGAGAATGGCATGTTGGGAACTGGGGGTGGTGAGCATCCCCCAAGAACTGCAGATGTGAGTGGCTAGGGCTAGCTGGGCACTTCATTAAGGGAGGATCCAGTGCCATAAGTGAGAAGACTCTGGCCTTACTGGAGTTGGGGGAAAGATGGCATAGTAACCACGGTCAGACCCATGCCTATATTGAAGGGTAGACAGTGTCCTCGTCAACCAGTAAAGGTTTCTACCCAGGTTTCACAAGACAGTAGGACTTGGATAGTCAGCTTAATGTGTCTATTATATGTGTCAGGTCAGTTTTTGCCAGGCCTCAACAAGGGGATGTTAGTTCCTTTTAGCAACAATAAAAGCATCTGGTTAAGAAAATACTTTTCAAAACCAATCAGAAATTTTTATTTTACATTCTATGCTGCTGCCTCTCTCTGTATATCAAGAGCAGATGTTAACAAAAGACGAAATAGCCCCCAGTGTGAAATACCCTTATGCTTGGCTTTCTTCAAGTGGGTGCCATCGGTCAGCCATTCCCCTACTCACTTCTCTACAGATACCTTCTCCGCAGGTGCTTTGGGAACCCCCTCTACTGTGAGGTCCTATGCCAGGACCTTCTCTCGAAGGACATACTGCTCTTTCATGACTTCCAAAAGGAGGAGAAGGAGAACAGCAAGTGGGAGACCCTCTCAGGTAAGCTTAGCCTCCCCTGGTTCTACCTTGGCCCAGCCTACTGGAGTTCATTCTTCATCTGGCCTCTAGGAGACAAGAGCCTGTCCACTGCTAAGCACACTCTACAGATAATATGCAGCTATGGTGAAAACAGCAAAAACCTGCCTCAGATAACTTAATTAAGCCAGTCAAGCTGTCGTTCCTTTCTGATCAACCTAGCAGGAATTACACTGAAGAGTGGGATGATCTGTGAATCTGGATGGGAGAAAGGAGGAGGGGAGAAAGGAAATATATATAAACTCAAGAAGGTATCCCAAACTTGTAATATAATAAAAGTGAAAGCTGTTGCAGGGTAAGCAGGAGAAGTAAGAATGGTTGAGACTATATGGTACAGAAAATACTAGTTTCTAAGAGAAAATTAGAGAGCAGGCAGGATGGCTGGAGTAAAATACTTCAAACATGATGCACTTCACTCATCTTCATTGTTTTAGATTTTTAACTAAATTCTTGTATTTTTGTGCCTTTAAAAGTACGGTCATTAAGCATAGTGTATTCCTCAGTCATAATCTTCTTTCCCTACAGCCAGTGCTATGAAATCTACAATGTATAGCATTTCTCCTGCCAGCTTTGAAGAAGACCAGGAGCTTTACGTCTGCACAGTCAAGGATGATGTGAATTTGGATACAGTGCTTCTCCCACCCTTGTTAAAAGGTAAGTCCCTTGAAGACCTCAAGTGAATGGATGACAGATGTCATTGCTATTAGTAATTGATGGGTGACTGAGTGTAGGTCTCATTATCATGATAGCTTCACTTTCTTCTGAAGAAGAAATCTGCCTTCCAGAAATAAGTTCTGGCACTACCTAAAGAGCTACTTGAGTAATGTTTCACTTAAGTGAGCCCATCGTTCTCTTTGGACCTGACTGGTGATTTGGAAATATTTTCTAGTCATTAATAAAAATTATGTCCTGAGATTCTTTTTGTGAATACTCCCTTGCTGGAGGAAACAATAGTCAAGGGAGCTAATGTTGCTGAGATTTAAAATCCATGGTACAGTGAACAGATAGTATTACGCACACAGCAGGAGGTTTATTAAAAGAGTACAGAGTAAGTTTATAATGACTGCTGAAATAAAGAATGAAGCTATCAGAATTGGGTAGGCATCACTGGACAGAGGGTGTTCTTTTCAGAGATGAAGTTGTTTTAATGTTCTATTCAAGGTGTTTGACGAGCAGGGTATTATTGTATGAAGCCCCTTGAGGGATATTATGATGATCAAGTCAAATATAATCCTGCAGAAGATGTATGACATGCATATGAAGAAGCAGAACAGAAGAGCATAGTAGTTAAGAACCAGGGCTCTGGAGTCAGCAAATCCTAGGTAGCATTGGCTTTCTCTTGCTGCTAGCTGTAGAACCTTAAACAAGTTAACTCATTTAAGCTTAGTCTTCTCATCAGTCAAATAAAGATAATGATAGCTCCTGTGGGGTTGAGTATTAAATCATGGGACAGGAGTATAAATCATGGCACCTGATAGCCAGTGAATGTTAGCTATTATAAACTACTCACTTTGGAGGGTTTCGGTCCATCTGGACAGTTCACACATCCCTACACCTGCATTACACACTGGGCTTTAGCGTTACTAATTTCAAAGCATATAGGCAGTATGCAAGCGGAACGGCAAGAGGTGGTTTTCTCTGGTGGGAATCCTCACAACATTCTTCACTGCTGTTTTCTAAAGTCTTGAAGGATAGTTTACTCGTGTTGGAATGAGATCACTGATGGGTCGGCGCTTAGAAGCGCCACATCCCAGTGAGGAACTGCTCTGTCTTATTGCAGCCCTCTGTAGGTATAGCTTCCAGGCACCACAGGGGGCATACCCAGTTACAAGAATTGCTATACCCAGGAAGCCTAAAGTGCTTTTGTAGCTATTTGTAGCTCAGTCGCAGTTTTCCTAATCTAATTTTCAGTGTTTATTCTTCATGTAAACAGTGTTACCTGGTAACTCAATTAACATTCTAATTTTTTCCGAATTCTGGAAAATAGTCGAAATTTTATCCACAGAAAAGGGGAAAAAAGATTTATTAACTTACAAGCTACAATGAATAGCTCAGTTAGCAAAACTTTGGGCTAAATGAAAGGCCAAAATTAATTATGAAAGATAAATTATTTAAGAAAGAAATTGACATGATTTTGTTTGTATTTTACATATATAATTTACCACTAGTTTAATATGTTACTGGGAAGAGAATGAGAGGAAATTGGATATGCAAAGCAGCAGTTCACATGAAAATTACCATTTATTCTAAAATTGTTAGGAAGGAAATATGTTTAAGAACATCTAGAAGGAGGAGTGGGTAACTAGTTGTTTGTGGGGGGGGGGAGAAAAAGGTTTAGACTTACTCCATGATTTTGAATTTAGTGACATGTTGGTTCAATACCAACCACTTAACTTTCTGGGTCAGAATATGGAACAATTTACAAAATGCCTGGAGTTAATTAAATCTTGACAATTAGAGATCTTGGGCCATGTTCCTGGTCTCCGTGTTTACTTGAAAGTAAGAGAAAGGCGTGGGTACCTATTAATCATGTAAATGAGAACTGTTAATATAGTTGAGTGATTTGGAGCTGGGCTTCAGGTCTACCAACAAAAGGTTTGGCGACCTGGAAAGAATGTGTACCATGATATGGTGAAAACCTGATTATTTTTGACTGAACAGTGAGTGCTGAGTGAGGATAAATGAGACATGCATATAAACCAGGCTTTTTCAAGAGTTTGGCTGAGTGGAGAAGTGGACAAAAAGTAAGCCTTTTAATTGTTTTAAAGGAAGAGATTGTATGCTAATGCTTGTTCATTGATGATTTCTTTTTCCAGAAATAGCAGTAAACCAACTAGATCAGTTGAGCCCAGAGGAACAGTTGCTGGTTAAATGTGCTGCCATCATTGGTCACTTCTTTCACATAGATCTGCTGCAGCACCTCCTGCCTGGGTGGGAGAAAAATAAACTACTTCAGGTACTAAGAGCTCTTGTGGATATACAAGTACTCTGCTGGTTCAACGAGAGCCAAGAGCTTCCTGCTGAGCCAGTGTTAGTACCTTCTTCTGTTGAGATTATTGAACAAACCAAAGAGAAGAAGAGAATGCCAGGTGAGGAAGAGCTGCTCCTGTTCTCTGAACAGATAACCTTGCCTGAGGGTATCTGTGTTCAGAAAGGGCAACAGTACCCTATAAAAGGGCCTGCTTAAAGCATATTGCTAAGAAATGATTATTTTAATCATGAAGGAACCTTGGATATAGTGAATGAATCATTTGTATTTTTCAGAATTGTCTTAATTTCAAGAATTCTAATTCTTTGTTAAGCTCACATGTTAAGTTTTTGTGTTTTGATTTTTGGTTCAAAATATTGCTATCATCCTTTAATGGCTTCTAAGAATAATAAGAAAATAAGATAAACTATTTCTAATTTTGGAAATTCACAAGAAAAGTTAAATGTGATACTGGAACATACATGAACAAAACAAGTTAAGTAGCTTGCAATTTTATGTGCTAAAGAATAAAAACTACAGTGGATTACCCAATGCACATGTAATCCAAAAATAATTTTCCTTTTTCTTTAAAATATGTTTGGGCCTTACATTTGAACAGAACATTTACGATGATTTAATGATAATAATAATTTCTAATAAAAATGTTCAGTGTGGGAGGAATGACCAAGAAATCTATCAGGTGTACTTCAGTACCACTAATCACTTCTTCCCCATAGCATTACTAGAGATAATCAGTATCACTCAGATTGGTGCAAAATTATACAAAGGGGGGGACAGTATTACTAAGTAAAATTGTAAAAGTTTTCTTACAAACTGGAAGCATTCACTTGGGAGTGTGCAGTATGATTACATAAGATGACTTTAGGAGATACTCAGATTTTTCTTTATTTCAGATGCTGACTTCCCTCGCAGGCTACAGGAAGAGCTATTCCTACCTCAAGCTGATGTGCTAGAATTTGGAGTCCCTCTATTGCGGGAAGCTGCCTGGGAGCTGTGGCCCAAAGCACAACAGATAGCCCTGCACCTTGAGTGTGCCTGCTTTCTCCGAGATTTGGCCTGCCGCTGTGGGAGCTGTAACGGGGGAGACTTTGTCCCCTTCCACCGTTTTGCCATCTGCCCTACTCGCAGCTCAAGGAAGGCTTCCCATTTCTGTAGTTACAAAGACAATGGTTCCATTCTAACACAAGTGATCACAGACAAATTGCAACTGCCATCTCCCCAAGGTAAGCCCGGGGGACAATGAGTAGCACTCCACCCCCCCCCCCAACAGTAAGAGGACAGTGAGTAGCACTTCCCTTTATTCATCCATTTGGGGCATGTCATACAAAAATAAAGTAATATTAGAGAAGGAAAATAGATGGAAAGAACCATTTATCCCTGAAATGCCAGAAATAAGAAAAATGTAATTCAAAGTTAAAGGAACTTTAGAGAGTGTACTTGTTTTCCTTGGCAGTCTTGAGCAAATTACTTAACCTCAACTGATCGAGAAAAAAAACAGTACCAATTTCACAGAGTTGTAAAATGTGTTTTGAATATATAATATGCATGGAATAGTACTGGCCACTTGTGCTCAATATGTTTTAGTTACTGCTTTTATTATTTAGCTCAATACAGGTATATTGGCCCTTTATATACATATCATATGCTGCAAAGAGGTGTTAAGAATACAAAATAGGGCCCTCCCTGGGCCGGTTAAAGCACAGCACTAAGAAGCTAAAGCACTGCAGCATGAGTTCAATTCCCGCCTGCCCCAGAGGTAATCCACATGGCACGGCAGACCTCTCCTGACTCCCCCCGCACCCCCTCCCCCACCGCTGCTCCCCTCAGCAGTGTACTTTGTCGATCTGCCTGCTCTGCTCCCCACTCTGTCTCTGGTGAATCCTCTCACCACCCTGCACCTCTGGCCTGTACCCCAGTTCTGTATGTATAAATAAATAAATCTTTAAAAAACAAAAAAAATACAAAGTAAGTCTTGATCCCTGAAATTAGTCATTTTGGGGATGACACAGACATTATTTTAAAAACATAATCCACTGTGGCATGGTAAAGGTAATAAAAGTGGCAGCATAGGGCAGGCCTACCTGGAAGGTAGGGGCTATTCTCCCAGTCATGAGTGAGCAGGAGGTGACTCTTCCTTACTAGAGATTACAGAAGTGAGACTTGAGGGGTAAATCAGAGTTTTCTTTTTGAAGCTTAGATTAGTGGGTAAATATTTCCCAAGCCCTGTAATGCTGCTACCACATTCCAGATAAGAGTTAACCTTTTCATTTTTTTCAGTTAGGTTAACGTATAGTACGTCTCATTTCATGTTCCATCAGCTATTAGAAAGCCGCTTCTTTCATCAAGTAAAGTGTATCTTGCAACTTCACCCAGTTTTCACAGTTGTGCCTTCTACAGTATTTAAAGACGTCTGTCAAAACCCAAACAAAGCTTCGCTTTTTCCACTTCAATAGGAGAGAAGTCAGTTGATAGGGGAGAGGAATATGAGGATGATGAGTTGGTGGTGAACAAGGTATAAAGGAAGAAACTAATCTATGATCACTCCTCTTCTGGATGTGACACTGATAACTGTATGAAGGGGGACACGAACTTGGAGAAATACATTAATTGATGAACTCTTTAAGCATTTGCAGTTTTGTACTTTCTGAGGGGAAAGAGAAAAGTGTCTTCATCTGGTAGTGGGAAGGAATTATGCTAGCACTTATATTTTTCCTGTGGCCTTTTGCTTTTGAGACATCAATATCAACTAATCTATCTATAGGAGAGGAACCCAGGAACCTTCCCAGTACAGCAAAGCCCTGACGGGGCTTCTCAGAGCCAGGGCTTGTGGGTGTGGCCAGGCAGAACATGTGTGGCACAAATTCAGAGGTTGCTGTTTACACAAACTCTGATGTGAGGGTGCCCTGGGAGGCATACATTGCAGTCATGCTGCCAGACTCCTGTTTCCTTAGTTACCTTAACCTAACTGTACCTTACCTGACATTAAATGATCAGATAGCCAGTCCTTTTTACTTAACACAAGCCCTCCATAGAACAGTTCTCTTGCAATCCTTTTCATGCCTCTGAACCCCAAGAGGTAACATTTCATCAACATTTCTGTCTTGCTTTCTGGTCTCTGAAAAGGTGTTTGCAAAGAATGAGTCAAATCTGAAGGGTAGTCTACTTAAGACCAGCCTAATAAAGCACCTGCTGACCACTGCAACTCGAGTGGACTGTGGCATCTTCTAGTCATGATTTTCTTCACTAGGTCTTGGACTCCATGGTTTACTCTCTTCTAGTCATAAACCGCAACCAGATATATTCGGGGACATTGCTGTCAAACCACATGAACCCATTCTTTATTCTTTCTTTTAACTGTGAATTAGGAACTATCTTGGGAAATTCTGACTGTTGGTCCATAGAACAGCAGACCCCATACTTCCATGCCCTCGCACCGACACCTATCACAGTGCATTCAAAAGCCACGTGTAACTGACATGTGCAACTGGTTGAATCAGATAGATAGGAAAAAATCCTCATGGGTAGGCCCACACAATTCAAACCATGTTGCTCAAGGGTCGACTGTATTTGAGTCATAAAGAGTTGCTGTTAAGGAATTTGCATTCTATGGTACTGATTTTGTGTGTTAATAATTAAACTAAACATTTTTATGATCAGGGAAAGCAATTAGGTTAAGAAGCAAGCTGTGGAAGAAAAGTAGCCAGAAGTGAAAATATTCTCAGTTAATATGCACATGGATAATGCAGATAATCATCTTTTTCTCTCTACAGATAGTTTTCAGCTCCAGACACAACCACCCAGAAGTCGGGATACTCTCACAAGTGAACACTGCAGGTAGACAGAGATGCTGACAGTGGGCATGAAGGAGACCAGAAAGTGAGGCACAGATGCCCGTTAAGCTGGGCGCTCACCCCACTGCAGACCAAGGAGGCAGTAGTGACTCTTGCACTCAGCTTAAAGTTCAAGTTAACGTAGATTTAGAATGACTTTTTTTTTTAATTCTGAATAGGAAAATTCTTTGTGGTTAAAGGGAAGCTTTATTTAACAGCCTTCAGATGCATTGTATATAGAACAGTTTTTTTCAGCGGTAAATTTGCCATCTCAAGTATCTTTGACCCCAGATTATATAAAAGTGAGTTTACATTTCCTAGCCATGTACTGCCTGGCTTTCTAATGCCTGTCCCATCAAATTTAAATGTCCCTACCTTGAGTTCACCAGTCGTTCTGAAGTTTCCTATTCCACTTAACCAACTGACTTTCTACAACTTTCACACAAAAACCTCTTATCAGACATGACTTACACTCACCCATGGGTATTTGCTCTTACAGTGCTCCCTTTGGAAAACACTAAGAGGCTTTTGGTAATTTCTGCTTATCAGAAAGTTCACTATCAGTCAAAGTCATCCTTAGTTCCCACATTTTCCATCGTTCTGTCTCAGAGAGATCTGGCCTTTCTGGAACTAATGGTGCCTGCTCTAGCTGAGGGCTGAACTCTGTCTTGGCGTGCAGCATCTGTGAGGCCATATATAAGTCACTTAACTTCCTGAGCCTCGATTTCCTCATCTGTAAAAGGAGGTAATTTTTGTCTGCCTGAATGACCAAGTATAGGAAAAGATAATGGCAGTGTATAAAGTAACAATCAAATATGCTGTGACAAGTTCAAATTCGCTAACTGAGAACATGTACTGCTACTGCTTCGTACTACCTTTATGCTTAACAGTGTTAGTTTACACTATGGTCTTTTCCCCATTTATTTTGAAAGACACTGATATTAGCTTTCCTTATTTTAAAACTCCTAAGGGGTTTCGGTAGGTCCGTGGCTTTCAAAAACTTTTGGAGCAATGGGGGAGAAGGGTCAATAGAAAACCAATGAATGAAAAGCTTCCTGAGATCCAGTGACACCCTGGCAAGTGTGAGCACTTCGTGCCTCTCTCAGTTCTGGTCTTCTCTCCACAAAGAACAGAGGAAGAGTTTCTGGATCAAGTGAACAGGAAGCTGAATCAGACCAGCCCTGAAGAAAACATGTGCACAATGAAGCCCTGTCACTGTGAGGAAGTCCTGAAGTTTGTGCTCTCCCCTCTTGCCCAGCACTGCCTGCTCATTGGAGAAACCACTTGTGCATTTTACTACCTGCTGGAGGCAGCCGCTGCTTCCTTGGGCCTCTCAGATAATTACATGGTGAGCAAGCTTGGCACTCAGCCCCTGGCCACGTTCTTTCACGTGGGAGATTGCTTTCTAGCAAGTAAACCTGAGTGAAAAGTGGAGGAAAGTAAGAGATAGGTGGCAAGGGTTGTCAGAGAAAACAAAGTAGGAGAAATATGGTCCTGAAAGAGCAACTTACTGGCCCCGCCTGGACACCTGCCCTCTAGCTCAGCTCCCGGGTCCTACTCTGTCAGCTCTGGTTCACTCCAGTCTTGACTCTCATCATAACCTTACTCGAGCCTAACCCAGTTTCTCCATCCCTTGTCTGTTTGGAGGCCTTCTTTTATTTGAGGAAGGCAAGCAGTCTTCTAGGCCAACGCTCAGGATTTTCATTTTTGAAAAAGCACAAAGTGAAGATCTGTCAGTTTGAGGAGGCCACTTTCTGCTGTCTTCGATCAGAGGTGAGTGCAGGCGATAACTTATATGGTGGTCATTGGTCATTTCATAATATGTGCATTTATCAAATCACCACTGTACACCTAATACACAATGATATATATCAGTTGTATCACAATAAATAATCATGGCACCTTAACCTTTTTATTTAAAGATTTATTTATTTGTGCATACAGACCAGAGATGCAGGGGCGGTGAGAGGATTCACCAGAGACAGAGTGGGGAGCAGAACATCCAGATTGACAAAGTACACTGCTGAGGGGAACAGACAGAAGAAGTCTGCCACGTCATGTGGGTCACCTCCCTGGCCAGGGTTCGAATTCATGCTGAAGTGGCTACAGCTAGCTTCACAGTCTGTGCTCTAACCCGTTGCACCACCAGGGAAGGCCCTGTACACCTTAAATTTACACAGTGTTTTGTGTCAGATCTACATCAGTATTGCTGGAAGAAAACATATAGTTGAAAGAGCCCCTCCTGCCCCCCGCCCATCCCATCCAACCCCATCACTCAGCCACTCTCTCCTCCCTACTTATGAATCTTTGGGTAGTCTATACCAGAGGAAATCCACATTCATGAAAATATATAGTTTCCCCCTTTCTTTTTTATATATAAATAGGAGCTCTGTATTTACACCTTGCTTTTAAATATGCGTTGTATATAAATGTACATTATATATTGCATATTTAAATTATATATATATATATATATCTTGAGATATATATCATAACAAACTTCTTCAGGGAATGAGATATTTCTAAAAAGTAGAAACTTGCAAAAGCTTGCCATGAGATACACTATTTCAAAAGACATGTACAGGTAAGTTTATTGTTTATGAATAACTCAGGACACTCAATAACTTCTCCCAGTTTCATTACCATTAATCCAGCAGAGCCGCAAAATATGTTGGGATAACTATTTATCAATTTATAAGTAATGGCTCTATGAAACTGTGAGGTATACTCTGTTAGATAGCTAAGCTTGAAAATAAAAAACAATTAAAACTAACTTCAATCTAAACCTTAACTTGGTTAGGCGAGCAGACCCAATGCCTTTGAATGGTAAAAGGAATAGTAGAGTAATTCTTAGTATTGCATTATTTGTATTTCAACCTATAGGTCTTTAAAGCAAAGTTAAATAGTTATTTCTTTCCCTTTATAAGAACAAGTTATTGTGCAGTCTTCCTAAGACTGTTCTGGGGTCACCAGAGACTTTATCATTTCCTTGAAGATTTAGTCTTAGAATGTAAAGATAATCAAGGTAGTTCCCTAGCTCCTCCCCCACACACTCTATGGGGACAGAATGGATTTGGTGATACTTCTGATGCTTTCTGTGGCATCAAAGCATTGAGTGACAATCCCAACTGAGTGTAGTAGCATCACTTTCTAAACCACAGCTTCTGTACTACTTACTGACAGGTGTGTGGGATATGACAGACAAGTGCTTTCTCCATAATCCTGTAGAGTAAGTAGAGTAAGCTCCTCTCTTGCTCACAATGGGGGCACTTCTTAATGTGACCAGATCCTCTTCCAGTTCAGCTCTAGCATGTCAGTGCCCCTAGCATACCTTCCAAATATCCAGAACCTTGTCTGTATGTTCTTTCCATATTTAGATTGCTGTTCTCATTTTCTCATCTCCAGGTCTGTTTTAACATGGGGCAGATCACATTGGCCAAGAAACTTGCCAGGCAGGCCCTCCGACTACTGAAAAGGAATTTCCCTCGGACCTGGTTTGGTGTCATTTTTCAAACATTTCTGGAAAAATATTGGCATTTCTGTTCCCCGAGCCAACCTTCAAACAGCCCTAGTGAGAAGTGAGAATCTTGCCAAGTTACCCTGCTTTCTCTAGGGTCACAAAGACCTAAATGAGGGCCAACCTAGAGTTTTGCCTATATTGACTTAAGACTCCTCTTTTCAAGCATATGATAGACAGCTCCATTTCTCCTACCTCCCTCAGTAAATTAAAGGTGGCAGAATGAGGCCATCTTTCATATTTAGACTATGGTATTGTCTTTCAAATAAAGATACATATATGTATGTTTGTGAGTATATGTACACATGTGAATATACATAGATACACATAGATGTAGCAATTTAATGTTTCCTATATGTAATATTAAATGGCTATCTAGTTGTTAAGCTTTAATAACTTATACAAAATATATTCAATTAACGTTAGCAATTCAAAGAATGATCATTTAGAAGAAGAAAAAACTTCTCTGAACTTTTCCTGTTAAGAGGGATGCATTAAAAAGGTCTTTCATGTTAGAAGTAGTGGGATCCTAGGAACCTTCCTGGCCCCCAATGAGAAAACTTCTGTTTCTTATGGGGAGGAGGTGCTGGGCCTTGTGACAATAAGGGAATGCTAACACCCCACCCTTCACCACAGCAAGAAGAAGCTGGCATTCCTGCAGCAGCGCGTGCACTGCCTCTCCCTGCTCTGTCAGCTCTACAACCTGGAGGCCACAGCCAGCAGTCGCAGGTTTGCTGGCCTGGCTATTCTCATGCAGAAGAATTCAGCACAGGAGTTTGCAAATGAAGTCCAGGTAAATGAGTCCTTGCTTTACCTTTGGACCCCACTCAGAAACCTGAAATGCCAGGGAGAGAGAGACCCTGCCAAGTTCCTGCTTGTAGCTGGGTTCTGCAATACCACAGACTTAACGTGTTAACACGTGATACCATGGATCATGTGTCTGAGCAGGATTTCTCAATTTGAAGTTTATAGATAGATTTCCTTGGCTATCTGTGAACTCCCTGTACTGAATAAAGAATTTTCTATATTGTTAAAAAGAGCTTTGGGGGAGTGATGGAAGTAGAAAAGGGTCATAGCTTTCATCAGATTCTCAAAGAAGCCCGTGATCTTTAAATGGATAAGAATAGCTGACTTAGGGGGAAAAAAAGAAGGGGAATGTATCTTCCTAATTTTAGGGTCCTATCTGTCTGTCTATCTTTGTTCTCCATTTGTTCAACAAATACTTGATGAATACCTATGCCATGCCAGGTACTGATCTCGGGTCAAAGGATGACAGATAAGTGACATGTGTAGTATATTAGGTGATGATAAGTGCAGTGGAGAAGTAAGTGAGGCTGAGGAACAGGGCTTCTCAGAACTGGGGAATACAGTTAAATGGTAGTCAGGGAAAGCCTCACTGAGCAGGTGACATTTGGGGAAACATCTGAAGCAGTGAGAAAGAAAGCCTCATGGCTACCAGGGAGAAGAGTGTAGGAATGGAGAGCACAGTCACTACACAGACCATAGCCTCTGTGAGGAACAGAAGAGCCTGTGTCACTGGTGGTGAAGGAGGGGAGGGGAAGCTCCAGGGATGAGTCAGAGACTGGGAAGAGGTGGATGGCAGATGCAGGCCAGAGTTGGGGTTTTGACTTTCAAAAAGATGGGGAAAGCACAGTAAATCCTGAGAAGGTGAGTCACAAGGCCTACTTAAATTTTTAAAAGATCATTTTGACTACTATATTGAAAGAGTAAGCTAAAGAGGACAGAGAGGAAGCAGAGAGACCAACCAGGAGGCTACAGTATGAATATAGGCAAGAGCTAGTTAGCTTGGATTGTTGTGGCAGAGGAAGTGGAAAGTGTCTTCTGTCCCCAGAGTGCACACAAGAGGCACTCACGGATCCATTTGGGGATCCAAGTGAGAGGAAGAGAAGAATCTAGGATGAACCCAAAATTTGCAATCAGACTTCTATAGAAATAGAGGTGCTCTTAACTGACATGGGGAAGTCTGCAGAAGGAACAAATTTGGGGGAAGATTGGGAATCAAGTTTTGCAGATACCTAGTTTAAGATACCATTAGATATCCAGGTGGCAGTATTTAATGTGGGGACTGGGACTTGTACTCAGGAGATGTCTGGGATGGAAATGTGGGAGTTCTCAATGTGTGTATGGTAGTCAACGTTAGGAACCTGCTCGAGGCCACCACAGGAGTGAGAAAAAGTCCAGTGATTGACCTAGCAGCGCCAGTGTTAACAAGTAAGGACCACAAGGGAAAATTAGCGAAGAAATAGAGACACTACCAGGGAGGCATCCACGTGAGAAACCAAGAAAGCCTGGTGTCCTGGAAACTGTAGTGAAGACTGTTTCAGGAAGAGCCGACAAGTGCACATAGTTAGAACAGAGGTCCAGACAGCACTTCTGAAGGGACAAAAGGCCTTCATCAGTGATTACACGAAAGAGAGACATTTCAGCCAGTATTTCAAGGGGAAGGAACTGGATTCAGAAAAAAAAGAGGAGAGGGCTCATTTAATGAATAGGTGGGGAGAGTGATCAAACTAGAAATGCAGGGATAGGAAGGAGTGAATCTTCTCAGCTGGCATGGCAGGTAGTGGGAGGGACACCAGGAAGCAGTCCTGACGGGTGGGCAACAGGCACCATAATGGGCTCTCACAGGAGATGCCAAGATGGAATGCAGCATGAATGTGCAGCCGCAATCCTTGCCCTGTGTTTCTTTCCCTGCAGTTTGTCTCTACCTATGTGGCGCTTTCCCAGTGCTCCCAGAACATGGGTGACAGGGAGGAGTGGCTACACTGTGAGAAGATGGCCATTCAGAAAAGCAGCCTGTGTTGGTTCTCCAGGGAGGGACTGTTGGCCGTAGCCCGGCTCATGCAGGCCTTGGCCTATACCAAGCTCTGCCTTGGCCACCTTGACTTCTCCATCAAGCTAGGTAATGGGGCTGGGAGTTGTTGGGCCAGGCTTTTAGAGAGGCCAGTTCACACTAGACCTCATACTAATGCTTTTTACCCTCCTCAGGTTTTCAAGCTCATGAGATATGCAGACACCTCAAGAAACCAGCTCTGGAGAATTTGGTTCTCTCAGTTCTCTTCAGATCTGCATTTCTGAGAAAGAAGTATTAAGATCATTTTCTGTGATTTGTCTCTGTTGCCTAAGAGGGGAGGGTCTGGTGTCCCCAGTCCCCTGGAATGCGAAGGGAGATGCGCTGCCATTTTCTTCCATTCTGGGCTGTCTCTTCTCCAGCCACTCCAGGAAAGGTTGTCCTAAGTTTGAGGGGTCAGAGTGCTAATGCAGAGTCAGGGCTGCTACATATTATGGAGGTGGTGGTATTTTTTGGTCTGTTTGTTTGCTATCATTTTCCTCAGGAAATAGAGAATGACAATAGCTCAAGACCCTGGAAACTGTCTCAGAAGCATTTGCTTACTGCCTTTGCTGAGAGACAGGTCTGATCCCAGCACAGATGCTCTCTATATAAATAGATTGATGAAGAGATCTAGGGGGTGTTAGGCAGCTTTAAAAGTGTAAGGTCCCCTCCTCTCCTCTTCCTGCACCATCCCCCCACTCCCTGGTTGGTCCCAGTGGCTCTGTCTCTTGGCAGATTTGCTCTGTGTGTCCATGTGTTGGAGAGTCAGTGGGCGCTCATTTCCCAGGGTCATGATGTCCTTGGCCTGGCCTGCTTCTATTCCGCTTGCTTAGATCTGCTGCTCTACGGAAAAGGTACATCTCATGCAGGGAGCTGCTGTGCTCCTGAGGGGTGCAGACCTCAGATGGGGTCCTCGATCTGGAACCCAGACACTCATGAGTCTGTCCCTCTGATATGACTCTGCTCCTGGCTCCTTAAAGACTAGGAGCCATGTTGTGACTCAGGGGTGTCTACCATTCATGTGTTTTCTTCCCCCCTGTACCATACACCTATACCAGCTCCTATGTGGACAATGTACACTGGCCTAGTTATCTTCTCTGTCTACAGGATTGCTGTGTCGGCCCTTTGGGGAGTGTCTGCGTTTCATTCAACACTATGAGCATAGCTGTGTTCTAACCTGTCAGAGCAATGTCATGCTGGGAATCCACTCCTCTCTGGCCATGTGGTAATGTGGGGTACCAGAGTCTTACCTAGGGTATATAGTAGTGGGTGGAAGCTTAAGGGCACCAGGAGGTCACTTAAGCTATCACTGTTTACCCCTCAGCCAGGACTGTGCTGCACTTCTAACCCATGTATAGAGGCTATCCACCTCCCATGCTTATCAGAAGTGTTCTTCTTGTCGATTACCAGGCACGGACCTTTAGATTGAGGCTTGAGTTTAGGGATGCATATAAGAACTAGATAACCCATGCAAGGCTGAATAGCATTGGATTCTTTTAAGTCTCCTTGTATGTGAGTTAGTAGCCATGGCTACTTTTCAGCATCAGAAGGTCTTGGAGCCTTAAAGAAGTGCCAGTTTTCTGAAAGAGCCATGCTTGGCAAGCGAGGGAACATGCCAAGAGCTGTGATTCTTTCCCTTCAGGTTCGCCCAGGACTCACAGTGGAACCTGTTTGAACACCACTTCTCCAAGGCTCACCAGCTGGTGAAAAGAACCAATGCCTCACTGTTTGGTTCGCATGGCTTTGTCCGATTCCTAGAATGCTATGTGCTAATATTACAGAAAATGCCAGAGGGTGTCTGCAGGCATGTTCCCCTGGATACTTGCAGTCAGATTCTCAAGGTGCCTGTCACCCCACTGGCCTTTCACTATCACCTAACTTCCTAGGCTATACCTAGGAAATCACGTACCCTTCCATATATCCTTGCATATAGTTCAGGACTAGACTCTAGCTTTTCTGTATTGGCACAGCTACTACCCAATACCATTAAAATGTTAACATTTAGCCCTTCCCAGTAGACCCACTGTGGCTCAGACTATGATTTGACATATCTTCCTACCACTCTGCCTTCTGAACATTCCGTTTCTTCTGTATCTCAAGTCTGCCTTCCGGGCCTATTTTACCATCAGTGATACTTTGCCTCCCTGTGCCCCCAGTCAAGTACATGCTGAGTGGTGTCTGTGAATAAGTTTTAGTGGAGGAAAGAATGTACTAACACTTGAGATAATGGACCTTTCTTTTCAGTACTTCAAGGAGTTCTTCTCTCGATGTGTAACCTGCCCTGTTTATCACCAGTGGGTCTCTGAGCTTAAAGTCACCGTAATGAGATATGGAAAGAGAGACTCCACGTTCTTGACCAATATCATCAGATCTTTGGATGCCCACTTGACCAGGTTCTGGACAGAGGCAGAATTCCTGGAGGAAAGCAATTCCTTTGAAGAAAATAAAGGAATACAGAGTAAGCTTTCCTTCCAGGAACCCTGTCTGAGAGGCATAAAGGACAGCCTCAGACTCATACATGCAAGCAGTCAAGTTTGTACGAACTTGATAGTCCTTACTCCAGAGGTGATATGTTCTCTCACAAGTGCTCCACTGGGTATGGGTAGAGAGTAATCCCTGCTATTTTTGAACAATGTGAGAGCCTCTCTCAGTCCTTTGTTTTAGTGTCTGTAGTAACCTTGTTTTAGTATCTTTAGTAACCCTTACATGTTGAAAAGTTCCCCCATGGTATCAACTTACACAACTATTGAGAGATTGTTCCCTTGATGGGCACTGAGGGGGGAAAGAGGGCCTTAGAAATCACAGTGTAATGTCTCTGAAGGGAAATGGTAAGGGGTGGGCAAGAAAAGGGGAAAATGCCTAAGAGATGCAACAGCTCTCTTTCCCCTACGGGTCCATGAGTTATATTTGTAACTGCTGAGGACAGTCTCTATGTTTGTTATAATTCTCTATTTTCTTGCTTTCAGGATTTGACAGAGTGGCTGATGTCAAGGAAAATAATGATGAAGAAATTCAAGAATGTGTATGTTAAAACAAAATCATCTGAACAGACCATGCTTCTCTCAATATGCTCTACAAGTTCTCCTTTTAAAGATCCTACATAGTGTACATATTAAATATATCGCCTTTTACAGTCACCACTACCTATATCTTTGCCAAAATAAAAACTTATGTTTCTGGAGCATGAAATTTAGACCTTCTTTAATTTTTAAAGGTCACAGCATACCAGCAGAAACAGGGGTACACTTGAGGCCAGGGAGCCTCTGAGATTAACTGAGTCTGTCTTCTATAAGGTGGATTCTGTTCTGTTGGAAAAGACAGCCCTGGTGACACGCTGACTTGTTTCATGAAGACTGGCAGTGGTGTGCTTTGGTCTGCCCTCATTGGCACAGATGCTGTAATGCTAAGAAACCTTTGAGAGGTACATAGCTGCAGACACCCACTCCTCCTTTGCACTTTGGGTATTCGCGCATGAAATCACCAGTGTGTGTGACTCTAGCTCTCTTCTTTATTCTCCTGGATGGAGTTGCCATTTGTGACCTTCATCTGCCTGAAGGTTTCTCTTCCACAGAGCATGATCTCCTCATTAAATTGTATGGCTCAGCCATCTAGCATATGTCTGTAGTTGCGAGGCTAGCATTTATTATTCCCTACTCTGTGCCAGGCACTATACAGAGTGTTTGAAATGCATTCTTTAAATCACATCAATTCTGTGAAGCAAGTACTTTTTTTAAATCCCTGTGTTAGCGGTGAAGAAACTGAAGTTTAGAAAGATTTTAGCCCAAGAAACAGCCAGAAAACGGTGGAACTGGGATACTTATTCAACTTTGATTCCAGTTCATTCTTAACCACTACACAACACAGCTTTCAGGGGGAAATGATAGCATCTGTACTCAGCCTTCAGTATTTTGTACAAATGACAAGATGTTTGGGAAAGCGAAGCCTTATTTGCCCTTTAAATCATCTTGACATTCTGTATATTCTTCCTTCCTCTCTTCTCCTTTTCCCCACCTCTTGTTACCCTTCTTCCCCTCCCTGTACCCCCCTCTCCCTTCCAACTCCCCATCTCTCACCCCTCCCTTTCTCCTCCTCCTCTCCTCCCCTGTCGTCATCCTCTCCTCCTTTAAATTTATGACAGGCAATGTAGAGTAGTGGTCAAAGCTAGGACTCTAGAGCCAGAGAGTCTGGGTTCAGATTCTAACTGCTTCTTTCTGTGTTACTTTCAGCACATAAATTATCATTATGCTTCAGTTTCCTTTTCTGTAAATGAGAATACTGGTGAAACAAGAAAGTCATTGTGAAGATGAATATAAAGTACCTAGGACATATTAATTTGATTGATTTGATTTTTATATTGAAAGAGAAATAATATATTCATGTGGCACCAAACTCAGAGGAAATAAAAATGTTCTGAGTCTTTTCCACTCCTATCCTCCTAATCAGAGCTAATCTGTATTACCACTTCCTGATGTATCTTTGCGAAATGATTCTGTGCACATGCAAGCAATTGTTATATATTTACTTTCCCACAAGTGGCAATAACAAGGCACACTGCTAAGTTTTTTTTATCTTTCTTTTGGTAACTTTTTAAATTCATATAAAATTTACCTCTTTAGAAAAGCGTACAATTCGGTGGCTTTTCCTGTATCATACCCATTAATACTATCCACTTCTAGGACATTTTTATCACCCCCAAAAAGGAACTCTGTGCCCACTTGCAGTCAGCCCTGACCCCTCTTCCCATAATCCTAGAAATTGCTAATCAACTTTGTGTTTATAGCTATGCTTATTCTGGACATTTCATATAAATAGAGTCATGTTAAGGCTTTTTTGTTTGGTTTCTTTTACTCAGTATAATGAAGCCAAAGCTACTCATGTTGGAGAAACGTCTAGCGACCTGGGCTGAAGACCAAGTTCCCTCTCAGCACCTGGATGCTGAGATGCTTGCACTGTTGAAAGGCATCCAGGCTGGGCCTGATGAGAATGCTGAATTTACTCCTAACTTGGGGTAGTTTAAACAATTCCGGAATCATCATCCATTATGTAATGTGAAAGTAGTGGGTTTAGGAGTGCTGATAGAAGGCAGATGAAAAGTTTTGAAACTTCTAGAAAAGCTCATTTCAGAGGGGAATGGCTTGCAGAGTAAACAGCAATATGAATATCACTTCCCTATTCTGGACACGGATGTCTGACAGGAATTTCATCCATACAGAGGCTGAGTCACTGCTAGGTTTCAGGCTTTTGAGGGCAAGATAATCACCTTGCTTGAAAGCAGTGTTCACACAACGAAGCTAACACCTAACTGCATTGTGTAAAGGGCCCATTGGGTGTTCCCCTGCCTTGCACCCCTGTTGTGTGACTCCACATGACTGCAGGGAGTGGCTACTCCAGCTATCATTCGCTTGTTTGCACGATTTTTTCCCATTCTTTTACTTTCAACCTACTTGTTTTTTTTTAACCTGAAGTTTATTTCCTGTTGGTAGCATATACTTGGACCAGATAGTGTTTAATCATTCTGCCATTGGCATACTTAATCCATTTACATTTAATTTAATTACTGATAAATAGGATTTATGTCTTCCATTTTGTTTTCTATTTGTCATGACTCCCCACCTCCTCTTCCTCCCCTGTCTTTTGTTAAATTTAATAGGTCTTTTTAAATTTAACTTCAATTCCCTTGTCATTTCTTTTACAGTAAATTGTTTGCTTATTTTCTAAGTGGCTGCTTCAGGGATTATAATTAGCATTTTAATTTAAGATCGTCCAGATCAAATATCAACTTAATTTCAGCAACATATAAAAGACACTGCAGGCCCTCCCTGGTGGTGCAACAGCTTAGGAAGCAGCACTGCAAACTGGCCACGGCTACTTCAGTGAAAGTTTGATCCTGGCCCTGGGGGTGACCCACATGGCGCAGCAGGCCTCTCCTGTCTCGCCTGCTGCTCCCCTCAGCACTGTGCTTCATCAATCTGCCTGTTCTGCTCCCCACTCTGTCTCTGGTGAATCCTCTCACCACCCCTGCACCTCTGTATGCATTTAAAAAAAAGACATTGTTTCTATAAAGCCCTATTCCCTCCCTCTCCTTCATACTGTTATTGTCATGAAAGTTTTATCTTAATAAATGTGATGCCACAAGATTTTTAATATTGCTTTATGAAATTTTCTTTCAAATGAGAAGTGGGGACAGTCATTTTTTTGAATATACACTCCTTGGTTTGATGCAAGCCATTGACTACTTTTTAGAATTATAAAAACATTGATTTTTTTTCTCTTTTTCATGAGTTTCTTATGATAAAACTTAAGTCAATATTTTTATCTTAGAATTCACCCTTGTAACTACGAATACTTACTACCTTCAACAATGATGGCATTTACTTCCCTTCCTCTTTCCTGCTTTTATACCAATCGACTAATTACTTTCCTTAGTATTTTCCTTTGTCCTGTTAAATATACTTTGACTTCTGTCAAGTTCTATAAAGTCTAAAATACATACAGATCAGGGTAAGGTTTTTGCAGAGGGGTTCTTTTTAGATTGTATTCTGCCTTCCCCTGCCCCTCAGCTCCTGCCCCTCCCGCCGCCACCACCTCACCTCCCTAGGCAAGTCCCCGGTCATTTGGCCAGGGAAAAGGAGGGCTTAGTTGATTTGTGGGTAGCCACTGCTTCCCAAGTGACAGAAGTAAATTTAGGTTTTGTCAGAGGCTTAACTGAGAATTTTATCAGGGGAAGCTCAGAACATCCTGCTAGAGCTCCTTGAAAATAACACCACTAAGCTTACACAGCTGGGGGCCAGGGACAGCCCTGACCCGTCCCTCCTCCTGAGAAGCCCAAACCAAGCTTGGAGTCCCTCAAGACGGTGAAGACCTCTTCATGCCTTGCTCTCCACGGTTACAGGAAAACGGGATTCCTGAACTCCCCAATGTCTCCACTTAAGCCTCTCATCTTAACGGGCACTCATTTTTACATTGAACGGTTTCAGAAGAAATCCTGGCAGAGACCTTCAGCCCTCACTCCCCCGCTTGGGCTTTCACATGTACTTGGCCATGACATTGACATTCACCTGCCACCTCACCCTCTTTGCCTCTTCTCCACCGTGCTCCTTCAGTCTCTAGACTCTGGCTGAAGGGGCCATGCTGCCTACCGGGTGGCTACCCAACTGAAAAAGAACCAGTACCGGTAAAACTGATGTCTGCAAAGGTCGTTGTATCTCCTGGTGCTTGAAAATCTTTTTGTTTTTCTTTCCTGCCTAGGAATAGGCCTAATGTTATTTACATTTCTGTCCTCACACCTCTTTCTTTTCTGCTCTGTCTCTCAAACACCATCCTGAGTCTCCTTTAACTAATATTATCCCCCTCATCCCATCTTATGCTGTCACACTGTAAGATGTCACTTGTTCACAGGTGTAGAGCAGAAAACAAAAGAGACTTCTAGACTTCAGCAAATGAGCCTATCAGATATCCTGAGAAATCTAAGAAATACTTTTGAAGAAGCTCTTTCGGTACCCTTTGAATCAGACTGCTTTGCAGCCGTCTGGCCAGGGTATGATACATATCCCCCTGGTGGGATGGGCAGGAGCCCGTTCAGCACAAACTCCAGACAAGAGTCTCAGTTCACAGGCCATGGGGTGAAAAGTGGAGCCCTGACCTTCCCCTTCCACCATCAAGAGTGATATATCATCATTGAAAGTTGGAGAAGTTTATTCATCCCACTGGTGCAATGACTGGAGCCAGCCTGGGGGGTTCACTTCAATCACACCCAAGTGTCACATTTCCAGGTCAGAAAAGTCAATGCATTAGCTAGATCCTAAAGTCTAGTTGCCCTGATAACCTCAGGCTCCAGAGCCCGAGCTGACTGGCTGAGGCCCAGGGCCCTGGAGATGGTCCCTGGGCCGTGCGGTTTGGTGAGCGACTTAGCTGGGCGGAGTCTGGCTACTTGGCAGATCCTGGACTGGCTCACAGGTGGCTCCTCCACCACTGGCCCCTCCAGGGAAGATGACCGTGTCATATATCACAGACTTGGAGCAGACTGGGACCTTTGGAGGCAGAGGGGGCAACGAGGATGAGGTCGGGGCTGGTGTCCCTGACGGGGGACCAAGAGGTAGGCTGCTGTAGGTGGTGTTGTCGAAGGAAGGTGGCGAGTCAAGCCTCACATACGGCACATCTGATGGCAAATCTACAGCCAGGCCAGAGTCACGGATGTAGTGGGCCTCTGCGGAGGGCACCTGTAACAAGGTCAGGCAAATCAGAACATGAGCACCTCTCTCTGCTCCCGCTCCCTTAGATCTGTGTCTCAACTCCTGAGAGGAGACCGGTGAACAAGAGGGCACCACTCTGAAAACTTGGAAGCCCCAACTTTCTCCCCAAACCTGACACAGTGAGATGCCAAGTGAGAAGGGGGGAGAGCTTTGGTGCCAAGTTCACGGCATTTAGAAGGAGGTTTGGCCCCCCAGCTCTTTCCCTACTCCAGGTTCTGGAACATTCTGATGAGCGTGGCAGGTGGAGGAGCTGGGGGATTTGGCTGGGCCTGCTGAGGTCTCTTACCATGCCGGGGACTCTGCTGCTCTGGAATCGGCCACAGACTCCAAGGCTGCTCCCTGGTGGGACAGAAGGCAGCAGTGAAGTTGCCCCCGGGGCCGGCTGGAAGTCCACCCGCTCTCTGCTCAGAAGCCTCCCAAGTCCAAACTCAGCTTCCTGCTCTCCCCACCAAACCTTTCAACTTTAACTGTCCCCTCAGAACCCATCCAGTCTGCGCTAACCTCCACCCACTTAGTGCCTTCACAGCTACCTTCAACCTGCTCCAGCACTCAGCCTAGATCCTGAAGCCTGGCCTCACCTCCGCCAATTACCTGCCCACAAAGTTCACAGTCCCACCCTTGCCAATTCCCGTCTTTCCGCAGGCTGGTTCCCACTGAATCTCTCTCACCTGCCTCTCAAACATGGGAGCTCTAGAGTCTGCTGGGCTTACTAATGTCCAAACAAAGGGAGAGCATTAAAATCCCTCTCTCTGTAAAATCTCCCTCTGCTAGACCGGCTGACATGGGTGAGGGCCATGGACACGAGGGACTGTACTAGAACAGATGACCAGCAGCTACCAACCTCTCCTTTTGGCCATCACAGCAAACAGCACCAGCACCGCCAGCAGCAGCCCCAGCAGGACCACAGCACCCCAGATCAAGAGGATGCTGGGGGACACAAAGGGAGAAGCAAGCTTAGCCCATAACCCAGAGGGGAGCTTCTGGGCAGGAACCCAGGTGGTGGCGAAAGGGTGCAGTTCAGGGTGAGCTGTGGATGTTGATGTGGCTTGGAAAGCGGAGGGCAGGCTCGGACGAGGTCGAAGGGGTTGTACTATCAGGGGATGCTGGCTGAAGATTCATGGGATCCGTGGGAAGGGGCCATTGCTGAACTGGAATAGACAGGAATGTGTCCCTGCCTGATCAGGAGTCCCCCAGGGCGCAAGGAATCATAAAGTCTCCCTCTGGTTTAGTCTGAGGTTCTACACCGCTGTACCTTCACCACCACCCTCTCCCAGCCACCCAAATACAGACGTGGCCAGTACCTCTTCTCATGCTGGCCGGGCCCCGAGGGGCTGGCACTGCCCACGGGGTCTGCAGAAGAGCCCTCAGCCGCACTGCCAACCCTCCAGGTCTCCTCCTCCGCCTCCTCTCTCTCTTCCTCTCTCAGGTCAGAAACTGAGTTAGAAGGAGATACTGAATGAACACACACCCGTGGCGGGCTAGCTAAGGGGCTGTTGAGATGTGAGGGATGGGAGAGGGGAGGGAGAAACACAAAAAAGAGCTTGGGTTATTCCTCAGGGGGCTTATTCTGGGGTCTGGGATTGATGAGCCCTGTGTTAACCAGGTGTGAGTAGCTACCAACCCCCCAGGTCCACCCTCACTTCCTCCCCTTTATCTCCCGCCCCACCCCCACCCCCACCCCAGGCCCCTTTGGGCTTATCAGGCTGCTCAGACTAAATTTAGGATGTTAAAACCTTGAGTTACTGGACCTTAGAATGTCAAGGAAGGAAGAGGACAGGGTGTGGTGTGGGCAGGCAGCAGCTTGATAGAAGCTACTAACTGGGCCCACAGATGAGAGGGGTTTTCATGACCTCTTAGTCTATTCTCATCACTCACAGACAAGACAAGGGAAAATGCCTTTTGGAATTTTATTATTTGGGGAGAAAGGAAGACTTGAAAATGAAATCAATGTCCACATTGCTATGGAGAAGCAACAGTGGCCTCTGCCATTACTATTATTTTTTTTAGACATAATTTTCTGGTAGCTGTGAGAGTGAAACTTTAGAATAAAACCCTTTCTCTGCTGAGGACAGGGCTGGGGCTACCGGCTTCCATAATCAGGACGTTGTTGAACTACATGAGGTTGGACTAGCTCACGTAAGGGTGTCCCCTGCCCGTAGGTGAGGCCCATGGTCGATGCCCAGTGAAGACTTACAACTTAAGTAGGTTATGAAGTCAGTGATGTTTAAGCCATTGAACCCCTTTACAGTAATAAAAACTGCACGATGTAAAAAATTAATGTTAGTTGTTCTGTCTGAATTAAAACTTTGTTTCAAACATCTCTAAGGGTGAGGAAAACAGCCTTAAGAATGGTGAGAACGCTGGAGAAGGAGAAGGCTGAGGTCAAGGGTGGGTGGGAGGAGCCCTTCTGTTGGGGAACCCCTGTGCACAGGAGGGCAGGGGTGGAGGTGGGGGTCACTGCTGGACTGATTTATCTCCGATCTCGCCACCACTTTGGTTTCTGTTCCCTGCAAAGCTGTCAAGAGGATATCTTCGCCCTATTCCTCCCACCCCCCTCCAGGGACCCTGCACCCCCAAGAACCCAAGAGCAGCCGGTAGGGGCAGGGAGGGTGAGTGTGGCTTGGCCACCCAGGACAACTCACCTGCAGGAATTACTTCTAGAGCAACTCTGTGCACTGTCTGGGGCCCGGCGGCTCCCTCCACCATGCACCAGTACTCCCCAGCATCCTCCTTCCGCAGGGAAACCATCTCCACCTGGAGCAGGCCGTCCCCGAGGTCGGTGAGAAACACACGCCTGCCCCCCGGGGCGCCACGGTCCACCACTGAGGACACCAAGGGCTGGCACCCCTCGGGCGAGAACCGGCACCACACCTTGTGAGCCTTGACGTCCTGGGGCCGGTAGTGGCACTGCACCAGAATGGAGCTCCCCACGGGGGCCCGCAGCATCTCAGGGGGGCTGCCCGCCAAGCTCTGACCTAGGGGAGTTGAGGGTGGACTAGTTGGGCTGCTGCGGGGACACCTCACAGCCCACCTGCTGCTGGCACCCCACTGGGACGGGAGCTCCATCTTCCAGCCTTCCCACGAGTGAGTGTGCCGCCCTGCACCCCCGAGGGAGGACAGAGGGGAGCGTGTGGCGTGCAGGGAGCAGCTGCTGCCGACTTACCTGCTAGGCCCTGGAGCAGCAAGGACAGCAGCAGATGGGGACCCATGGCTGGGCAAGGAGAAGTCAGTTCTGGGGCTTGTCTGGGCACCACCACAGCACTCCCCTGGGGCAGGAAACATCTGCTTCACACAGTCACTGCCCAGGGGTGGGAGGTCAGCACATTTGGGCACCCCCCAGGCTAGAGATTAGGGCTTTCCCAAATCCTGGTTGGCTCTGAGATGGGGGTGGGGGTGGGAGGGAGGCTGAGAAGCCCAAGGGCAGGAGGAGCGGAGCCTCTGTCCAGCCTCTGTCCAGCTACAGAGGAGGGAGAGGAAGATCGTGGCAAGTAGAAGGCAACAGAGACCGAGGGGAGATGCTTTCAGGGTCTTCCGCTATTGCATCTGGGGGTGCAGAGCTGTGGGGGAGGGAGGGAAGATGTCCCACCTATGACCCCAGGCCATTCTGACTAAATTCTGTGTCTTTATTTACTGTGCTGGGTGTTCTCTGAGCCAGGAACCCACACTCTTCACTTCTGGGAATGGTATTATTTCGTTGCTTGTCACTACTCCATTTTCTACCCACTCTGCTCCCCTGTTTTCCTGGAACTCCTTAATCAGCTGGTAGTGAGCTTTAAGTATTCATGTCATTTTCATTACGTTGCTCTCTCATTTTCTTTTTGTCCATGTTCTTTGATTTCAGGCAGATAACCCATCTTGCTCTCCCATCTCTTCTAGTATTGTCTTTTACATTTCTCCTTGCAAATCTCGTATTCTCTAGGCATTTCTTACTTACAGTGTACGATTTTTGCTTCATCAAAAATCTTTCCGGAACAATTCTCCATGCGGATGTGCCTGTTTCCACATGGTCTGAACCTTTTGAGCAAAAGGCACTAACCAAACGTGTGCCCGGGAACAGAACAGCAAACCTACCTGGGAAACTAGAAATGGTGTATCAGCTCTGTAACAGGGTGGTCCCTAGGAAAAAGGGAAGTTCCAGGTTCCCTGCCCCACCCAGAAGGAGGGTGGAGCTGAGCAGAGAAAAAGGAGTAGAGAGAAGAGAAGGAAGCTGGATGGAGAGCCAGAAGGAGACCTGAGGAAGCCACATGGAGCAGCAAGCATGTGAGGAAGAAACCGTGCTTGTTTCCTGACCCTGGACTGGTTAAGGCAGACATGGGTGAGATACCTGTAGGGAAGTGACTATGGCAGTGTTTATATTGATTTTGACTTTGCTCTTTTCCTCCCAGATTTGTCTGGCCATTTCTGACCCTTTTCCATGGGTCCCGGCCAGAAGGTGCTTTAGTCTTGTGGCAGCTTTCAGGCCTTGCTTTGGGCCAATCCCTTTTGGGTTGACTCTTGTCCACAAGGGGATGGGTCACTTCAGGTGTTTGATTTAGAAATTATATTCTTTGTGTTCCATATTGTATATTCACTGTATTAAAGTCCCTTTTCATTAAAGTTTTATATGTTTTGTCTTCTTGTGGCGGATGGCAGAACCCACTTAGAGCAGGCAGGATTTTGAGGTTTCAGGGGTATCCCTCTCCCCCTGTTCTGGAACAGATTTGGGGTGCCCTATAACAGCTCCAGGATTTTCTCATACCCTGCCACCACCCCCCATTTCAGAGCAAAGTTCTCTTTCTCTAGATTGGAAGAAGGTCCAGTATTCCAGACTCTCCATAAGCTCCAGACTTCATAATTTGGGGTCCCTTGCCCATGATACACCCCGGCTCCTTGCCCAGGAAACACCTGGCCCTGTTTGGTGCTGCTCCGAGCAGAACTGGGGACCACACAGACTGTGAGCCACAAACCTGCGGGCCTGGGACACAAGGGGCGCCCCAGGGCACAGAGACCAGCACAGCCTGGCGGGGCACGGGCTCTGACCTGGATGCCAGCCCTGGAGATCCAGAAAACGGAGCCTTCTTCACCTCCCCTCTCTCCTCCCCTTCCCTGTCTCTTTCTGTCTACCTTTCCTTCTGGGAGCAGGGAGGTGGGAAATGGAAACCAGGAGCAGGAGCCTGAGGAAATGTGAGCCTGGCCCATTGGGAGGGGCAGGGGAACAGCCTGACAGCTGTATCTGCTGGCCTGGAGCTGAGGGCTTTCCCGGGATGTGGCACAGGGACAGGAAGGTCTCAGGCACACCTGTGGGCAAGTCACCCTGGTGGCGGAAGTGGAAGTTTCCTTGGATACAGGGAAGAGTGTTTTTTTCACTTTGATAAACTACCTGGGAACGTTACCTGAAGAGAGACCTGTCTTCAGTATTAGTATTCAACCAGGTGCCTAAAAGAGAGGCTGTCTCTTGTTGGGCACCTAGCACAGAGGTGCCCAGGCAGGATCCTGGCCTCCAGGCAGGTGTCTGATTCCTGGCCGTGAGAGAGGAGGGAGACACCAGTATTTCTTGAGGACCTGCTATGGGCCGGGCACCTGGCCAGGGATTTTCACTAATGGTGTTTCTCTCAACCTTGTAAAACCCCAGCAAAGTAGGGTTACTGTCATTTTTTTTTTTTTAAGATTTATTTATTTGTTCATACAGAGCTGGGGTACAGGCCAGAGGCTCAGGGGTGGTGAGAGGCTTCACCAGAGACAGAGAGGGGAGCAGAACAGGCAGATCGACGAAGTACACTGCTGAGGGGAGCAGCGGGCAGGTCAGGAGAGGTCTGCCACGCCATGTGGTCACCTCCGGGGCAGGCGGGGATCGAACTCATGTGGAAGTGGCTTTAGTTTCTCAGTGCAGTGCTTTAACCCGCTGCTCCACCAGGGAGGGCCGGGTTACTGTCATTTTTACAGATGAATCCTCCTAAAGCTAGGGGTTAAGAAATGTGCTAAACATTCCTCAATAAGATGCACAGTTGAAATTTGAAACCAAATTATCTGACCGTCTTCAGCCCAATGTATCCCAAACAGGGGTTCCCAGTGGTGACCTGCACCCAGAAGTAGATGACTCTGAGATGGGAAAGCAGGCGAGAGAAAAGGCCAAACCCCATAGGAGTCCCAGTAGTGCCCCAGGGCCAGGCACAGGGGCCCTCCCCTGCCACCTGCCCCTCAACATCGGCACCCAAGGAGGCGAAAGCTAAGTGGAAATTAGACTCAGCTGAGCCTTGTCTCCCCCGCCCCACCCACGCCTTGTTCTTCCACCATTCTCTCACGACACCACCGTTTACCTGGGTACCCAAACCAGAAACCTCAGCGTCATTCCTGTAGGCTACCCCACTCTCACCCTTCACGCCTAATCCATTTCCAAGTCCTATTGACTTTCCCTCTTTGGGAAATTTCTTAAATTCATCTACTTCTGTTTAGTTCCACCATCCATACTGAGGAGAACTTTCAAGAAGATTTTGAATTGTGTTACCAGAGCCAGCCACAGCTTTTCACCCACCCCCTGCTTCTGTCTCCTTGCTTCTGTGGCAGAGTAGACATGAGCCTTGGAGGTGCAAAAAGTAGCTTCTAACCAACTGCCACATAACAAAGATTTGAATGAAGCCAGGATCCCAGTATGGCCTGGTGTGAGGGCCTGTCTACAGAGTGTAAGCTTTACTGCTTGAGAGATGAGCATTTTGTTTCAAAACGGAAAGTAATGATGTCATAATGTTTGTTCTCCTAAACCAACCCACTCAAAATCAATACTATCGGGCCTTCCCTGATGGCACAATGGGTTAAAGCACAGCACTAGAAAGCTAGCCGTAGCCACTTCACGAGTTCCATCCCCGGCCAGGGAGGTGACCACATGGAGCAGCAGACCTCTCCTGACCCGCCCGCTGCTCCCCTCAGCAGTGGACTTCATCCATCTGCCTGTTCTGCTCCCCACTCTGTCTTTGGGGAGGCCTCTCACCACCCCTGAGCCTCTGGCCTGTACCCCAGTTCTGTATGCACAAATAAATAAATCTTTTTAAAAAAATCAATATGATCTACCCCTGAGTCAACGTCAAGAGAGAGGAGAAAATCAAACCTCATCCTTGTACGAAACGTGCCAAGCGTACCTGATACCTGTGTAGCTTGAGTGCCAGTCACTCGCCCTCCTTTCATCCCAGCACACATGCTCTACTGTATCCCTCCACCACCCTCCACCAGCCCTTCTATCCCCTTGTCCCTTTCTCAGCCCCCCTCACTCTTAACCTCAGAGCGCTCACTGTTTTGTATTTCACTTTGTCAAATTGCCCAGCTCTAAAGATCAGTGCTGGTTTTCGTCACTCTGTCGGCATGACTGCCCTCCTTCCTGCATGGTTTGGTTGCCACTAGGAGCACTCCAGTCAGCAGGCGGGTGGCAACAGGCCCGGGTCACCAAGGGGAAGTTCCACATGCTCCTGAGTCAGGGCGGCCAGGGAAGGACGCAGCCCCAGGAAGAGCGATGTGCTGACATGGGGCTGGAACGCAGACCACATCCAGGGCCCCTCGCCAATGATACAAAACCTGAGGTGTCCATACCCAGCTGAGGGGGCAAAGCAGCCCGAGTGGTCACGTCCAGCAAGTTTTGTGGGGTCCTGCCTCTCCAGGTCCCAGGACAGAGAGCTTCAGGGTATGGCTACAAGATTCCTCTTCCCAGAAGCCCTCCCAGAGACGAGTCTGCCACTTCCTGACACTCTTGGCCTGATGTGTGTAGCCTGACGGGAGAAAGTGCCCTGAGCTGCCTTGGCTGCTCCTCTGTCCCAAACCCTCCAGGCCCTCGGCTTCACTTCCCAGCCTCCTCCCGGTGTTTCCCTAGTGTTACCTTCTGACCAGCCCATGGAGAACTCCACCTGTCGCTTCTCTGCTCCCAATACCAACCCTGCTCCATTAACCGGTCCTCAGCACCTTTGCCTTCTAGCAAACAGGCCCTCTCCTTCTGCTGGAACCTGACTGCCCGAGCACACAATTTTTGTTCACTGGTCTGTGTCCAATGCCTGGAATCAATGGCAACAGAAAATATCTGCTGAAAAAGTAATTGGCTAGGGCCCTCCCTGGTGGCACAATGGGTTAGGATGCAGCACTGCAAGCTGGCAGCAGCCGCTTTAGTGCAAGTTCGATCCCGCCTGCCCCGGAGGTGACCCACATGGCACAGCAGACCTGTCCTGACCCGCCCGCTGCTCCCCTCAGCAGCGTACTTCGTCAGTCTGCCTGTTCTGCTTCCCACTTTGTCTCTGGTGAATCTTCTCACCATCCCTACACCTCTGGGTTGTAACCGAGTTCTGTATAAATAAATCTTTTTTTTAAAGATTTATTTATTCATATGGAACTGGGGTACAGGCCAGAGACGTGGATGGTGAGAGGATTCACCAGAGACAGAGCGGGGAGCAGAACAGGCAGACTGACGAAGTCCACTGCTGAGGGGAGCAGCGGGCGGGCCAGGAGAGGTCTGCCTCGCCATGTGGTCAGCTCCGGGGGAGGCGGGAATCGAACTCATGCGTAAGTGGCTTTAGCTTCTCAGTGCTGTGTCTTAACCCGCTGCGCCATCAGGGAGGGCCCAAATAAATCTTAAAAAAAAAAAAAATAAATAATTGGATTGGATTGGATAAATGAGTTAAAGATAAGATACATTGAACACTGAGAGGAGTGTGATACCCATGCTCTCCTGGGATGTCAAGTAAATTCTTTCCCTCTTGAGCTTCAGTTCTCTTCTACGAGGAACTAGAAGCAGCAATGCCCAGCTCTGGTTTGCCACCTTCTCTAACACACCTCCTTGCTATTTGGTCAGGGGTGGAGGGTGCATAATATGCCAAAAGCAAACTCCAGGAGACTATGGGTGAGTCAGCTGGGGTGTGGAGGGGTGGACGGGCTGGGGCTGGAAAGTATGAGTAATCGTAGGGAGCTGAGGGGCAGGAGGCGAGAGGAAATGGAGGATGTGATTGAGAATTCCAGAGCTGGAGGGGGCTTGGTCATTAGGCCCAGGAAAGGGAGAAGAATAAAAGATTGGCACGTTTGGATCTTGTGAAAATACGGGATGTGGCAGCCTGGGCCCCAGACCCAGAGGAGCCAGACTTTTGATGTTTTCCGCACCTAAATTCCCTCTCTGGCCCCAGCAGCAAAAGCCCTTCACAAAGCCTCCGACTGCTAGGAGTTAGGGAAGGGAGAGCAGTGCCTAAGACAACTGACAGCAGGAATCACTTTACAACATACCCAGGGAGCCAGGAAACTCTTGCCTGGGCCAATGAAGCCCAAAGAGGCCAAAGTGCCTAGTGGGGGAAGGCAGACACCCCCCACCACCTGTCAGTGCTGATAATGCAGCCTGTGGAGCACCTGCCTGATAGTAGGAGGATCACAGCCCGCCCCCACCCCCGCTCCTGATGGTGGGCAGAGTGTGATCCCCATCAAAGAAGGGAGTCAGTGAGCAACTCCACACCCCACAGAAGCCAAACACCCCTCACCACTCGGCATAGTTGTTCTCCTGTGGACACTACCTGTCCAGGCCCCTCCCACGTGTGTTATTGCTAAATCAGCTTTGCCTGGGTGTGGCTTTGAATCGTTTCTAGGCCACAGTCAAGAACCAAGGACCCCTCTCAACCTGGAAAAAAAACCGTCCAGCGAAACACGAAGTCTTGGATTTACTTGAGAGTGTTTACTATGTAATGCGTGCAAGTTGACCGATGCCTTTCCCAGGTCCCACTTCGGGGGCCTGGAGGCAGGTTATAGTTGAGGACTTTGCCAAAGCAGACCAGGAGTCTCGGTGGTCAGGGGAAGCGTGCAGGCTGGGCAGGTCCCCCAGGCCTCTCTGGGCTCTTCCCTTCTGTGGGGGATCCTCTTCTCTCAAGTGTCTCTCTGCCCTACAACAGACAGAGTGTTGGCACAGCCTCACCTTGCCCCCCTGCCCAGAGCGCCCCACCACGCTGTGCATTTCAAGCTCACCAGTCAGGGTTTGGAGCTGGTACCCCGCGGCGTGGCCACAGTCCAGCTCCCTGGCCTGGGGTGTCCCCTGTTTCTTCCTGTGCCAGGCTGCAGCCCAGAGCGTGCCGGCAGCTAGAAGCTTGCTGAGGAAGATGCAGGCCAGGAGGAGGATGGAAGTGGGAGGGAAAGGAGTCTCCTTCTCTGAAAGGCTCCTTAGGGAAATAAGGAAAGGCCTGAAGGTGGCCCCCAGATTGGAACCTCCCCTTAAAGGAGGGAGAGGGGGAAACCAGGAGCTTCTAGGGAGCTCCACACCCAGTGGAGTGGGCTTTGGGAGGTGTGGGGAGTCTGTGGTCAGGAGACCCACACTCTTGGCTTGAGTGCATTTGAGCACATGGCCTTCCCTCAGCAGGCATGTTTCTGGCGTATGTGACGCTATAGTGTGGGGGTGGGGGTGTGCACGTGCGTGCATGCACCTGTCAGCTCCATGTTATATGAACGACGCTTATACTACAGCAATTGACCAGGGATCTGGGGCTCCCCGTTTTGTCCTTCTCCAGACCCCCATTGCTGCTGATGGTGGGATGTCGGAGGGTGGCTGGGGGAGGCCGTGTGGGAGCAGGGGAGGGAGACTGACCATTTGACAGCCTTGGGCAGCTGCTATTTACAAACTGCTATGGAGAATTTTAACTTTTTAACAACTGGCCGCTCTGGCCAACACACATGGCTGGTGGAAGGGGAATGTAAACCAGGCACAGCCAGGCCCTTTCATGCTCTGACAGCCTGGAAATCTGCAGTTCTGGGCCCCCCGCCTTCACCCCAAGTCCAGGCTCCTGGCTCCGCACCTGGAGACACTGTGCTCCACCTGAACCTCCTCGAAGCTCTCGGGCTCCTCGGGATCCCAGAGGTCCTGGTGATCGAGGGGGTCTGTGGAAGACAGGGCTGTGAGCGCCTAGTTCCCTCCTCCTGCAGGCATCTTCCCAGGGTGGCATCCCCTCTGGGTGGGTGAGGTCCTCTGGGCTCTGGTCCGGCGTGTGCCCTTCCTTAGCCTCTCTGAGCCCCGACTTCCCCACCTGTCAAGAGGGAGGGGGAGGGACAAGCATCCCCTGAATGCTGGTGTGCTCCTCTCAGCCAGTGCGCCTGGCGAATGCCCATCCCCACCCTCTGGTGATGCAGGATCTGGGAAGGCCAGGGGAGGTATTTGCAGGTCCTGTGTGCTGTGCAGCAGCTTACACAGCTGTGGGTTGTTATTATGACTGCATTACCTGCCGCCCGCTTGGGGGTCGGCTGAGCCCGAGCCCCCATATGAGGGTAAATGCTTATCTCAGCCCCACTCTGCCCTCCCACCAGAGGGTTGGGCCTAGGGCAGGGGGTCACCTCGCCCCCTCCCCCTACCATCTTAGACATTCAACTCTGAACTCCCATTTCTAAGGGACCACATAGTAGGGAGGGATTAGGAAAGGGGAGGCTCAGACCAGGGCTCTCTAACCCCTCATCATCTCCTATGGGACACAGGCACTGTTTCTGAAAACACAAACAGAGGCTCTCCCAAAGCGCAGGCCCAGTGCAAGCCTCGGAGAGGGAAGGAGCCACTGTATCACCCTGTCAACCTGGAATGAGGACCCCAGGTCAGTTCAACAGTAGGAGGCTGGGACTCAGGCTGTCACTTACGCCAAAGCACTTTTAACTCTCTCCTCTGTGCCTCAATGGAACCTTGCAGGGTCAGCAGAATAGACACCTCCCGATTAAAGAGGAGGAAGTAGAGGCCCAGAGAGGTGAGGCCCATCACCCAGATGACAGCAGTATTCCTCCCTAGCCTTGTTTTTCGGCACAGGTCATCGCTTAATTTTTGTCGGTAAGCCCACTGGATGGCCTCTTCCTACTCTTTGAGGACCCCAGGGTAACCCACTGGCCAGTGTAGAAAGCTGTGTGGGGCAGCAGGACCACAGCAGGCCTGCACATGTCTCAAGCAAATTAGAGGAAAGGCCCCCAAGGGATGCAGTCTGGAGAGGAATCAGGGGGCAGAGTGGCCCCTTGTGCTGTAGACAGCCTGCACAACTATCCATGGCGACCCTGCGTGGGAGGATGAGGCCCACATTGTGGGAAAGCCCAGAGGGTGGTTTGTGCATGACATCAAGCTGTGTCCCCACCCAGGGTCAGGCCAGAGGCATGGCGGGCAGCCCACTCACCAGCCAGCACCTCCACCAGGACTCTCCCGAGGGTGTCGGCCTCACCCCCACGCAGGCTCTGGCACTGGTAGAGGCCAGCGTCCCGCGCCTGAAGGTTCCGCAGCGTAACGGTGAGGGTGCCGCCCAGGGCATCATCCGTGATGGCCGTGCTTCCGTTCCGCCTCTTGAGGAAGGATAGCAGCCACGAGTGGTGGGTGCTGACCACCCGCTGGCACAGGCCCTCCTCGCTCAACTGGCGGCACCAGGCCTTGCGTCGCCCCCAGTGCTTCAAAGAGTCATAGGGGCAGGAGACCTGCAGGGACTGGCCGGCCGTGCCCTGGAACACCGTGGTGTTGTGGGCTCGGGACAGCGCTGCAGAGGAAATGCCCGTTGACTCCTCCATTCGTTTACCAAGTCCTTAGTCAATGCCTACTATGCACTGAGCCCCAGAAGCAGAAATCCTTCACCTTCAGAGCTCAGGTTCTGATTCATTTGGCAGAAGGCAACTGTTTACAGAAAACTGGAAACCAGGAAACCGGGTTCTAGGTCTGCCTTTATCACTGTTAGCCTTGCTGAACATCTCTGGGGAAGTAACTAAGCCTCTCTGGGCTTAACTCCAGAGACACTGGGGCTTGAAGTTCCCTGCAGTCTACTCTGCACAGCTCACCCTGTCACATGGGACCAAGACCCACCCACTCTCCCCTCTCACTCTCAGGTGAGTGGGGCCAGTGTCCCTCTCAATTCCGGGGCTCATTGTGCAGGGTTCCCCCCCACCCTGCCCGACCTGCTTACTCTGCAGCCTACCCATGCTGGCTGCAAACTTCTCTTCTGGCCTTTAGCTTCCAGCTTCCCTATTTCTGTGGTTTTGGTCCCCCTTTGAGGAGGAATTTGTCTCCAAGCTATTTTTGGGGGAAACATGAAACTGCTATTTTGGGGACCTCCTCAGGGCAGTAGAGATGGGACTGCAGCTTCAGTTTCTTGCCAGGGCAGGAGCTACAGGGGAATGATCCAGGCTCTCTGCCTCAACTTCCCCTCTTGTCCCCCTTTACCCATTTTCAACCATATGCTGACAGAAAGTTAAAAGATAAGTTTGGGCGCCTTTCCTGGTGGCACGGCAGGTTAAAACACAGCATTAAAAAGCTAAAGCCACTTCTGCATGAGTTCGATCCCCGCCTGTCCCTGAGGTGACCACATGGCGCGGCAGACCTCTCCTGACCCGCCTGCTGCTCCCTTCAGCAGTGTGCTTCGTCCATCCACCTGTTCTGCTCCCCACTCAGTCTCTGGTGAAGCCTCTCACCACCCCTGCACCTCTGGCCTATACCCAATTCTGTATGCATAAGTAAATAAATCTTTAAAAAAAAAATAAGATAAGTTTGGGATGCTGGTGAGCTGACTTTTGGAGACCTGACAAGCAGCACCCCCTTCACACATCACCCACGTGGATCCCTCTGCCTCTAGGCAGCCCAGCGCACCCCACCCTCTCTACTTCACCTCCTGAGGAGAACAGCCTTTCCTCTACCCAGGTTTGCCTGTTGTTCTGAGGAAACAAGAGGAACCCCTCCCCTCCCCCATGGGAAGAAGTAGCTGTGTATAAGAATCTGGGGTGTCAATTCTTCCAACTCGGTGATAGAAATCTTCAGCTTCCTCACCAGAAATGAAGAGAATGGGATCTTCTGAGTATGAGGGGACACCCCAAAGCTGTGCATTTTCAGTCCTGGGTTCTTTCTCCTTCCTTTCTTCTTCCCCACCCTGACACTCCTTTGGGGCTAGTCTTATACTTAAGAAGTTTGTCCTTTAAGGGGCTCTTATCAGGGCCCCCCAAACTTTCTCCAACTGCTAACCAATGCCTGTGATGCTACTATCAGAACTCTTTCTCGCTCCACAGGGACACCAGAATCCACCACCCTTTATACCTCCATGTACACAGAGTCTAACAGCAGGTTCTCATAATGTGGAAGGAGG